TTTCTCTTGTGGGCATTTAGTGCTATAAATTTCCCTCTACACCCTGCTTTAAATGTGTCCCAGAGATTCTGGTATGTTGTATCTTTGTTCTCATTGGTTTCAAAGAACATCTTTATTTTTGCCTTCATTTCGCTATGTACCCAGTAGTCATTCAGGAGCAGGTTATTCAGTTTCCATGTAGTTGAGCGGTTTTGATTGAATTTCTTAGTCCTGAGTTCTAGTTTGATTGCACTGTGGTCTGAGAGACAGTTTGTTATAATTTCTGTCCTTTACATTTGCTGAGGAGTGCTTTACTTCCAATTATGTGGTCTATTTTGGAATAAGTGTGATGTGGTGCTGAGAAGAATGTATATTCTGTTGATTTGGGGTGGAGAGTTCTGTGGATGTCTATTAGGTCTGCTTGCTGCAGAGATGAGTTCAATTCCTGGATATCCTTGTTAACTTTCTGTCTCGTTGATCTGTCTAATGTTGACAGTGGGGTGTTGAAGTCTCCCATTATTATTGTATGGAAGTCTAAGTCTCTTTGTAAGTCTCTAAGGACTTGCTTTATGTATCTGGGTGCTCTTGTATTGGGTGCATATATATTTAGGATAGTTAGCTCTTCCTGTTGAATTGATCCCTTTACCATTATGTAATGGCCTTCTTTATCTCTTTTGATCTTTGAGGGTTTAAAGTCTGTTTTATCAGAGACTAGTATTGCAACCCCTGCTTTTTTTTGTTCTCCATTTGGTTGGTAGATCTTCCTCCATCCCTGTATTTGAGCCTATGTATGTCTCTGCATGTGAGATGGGTTTCCTGAATACAGCAAACTGATGGTTCTTGGCTCTTTATCCAGTTTGCCTGTCTGTGTCTTTTAATTGGAGCATTTAGTCCATTTACATTTAAGGTTAATATTGTTATATGTGAACCTGATCCTGCCATTATGATATTAACTGGTTATTTTGCTAAAACCTATTGGAAGTAATGAGTGAATTCATCAAGGCTGCAATATATAAGATCGATAAACAAAAACAATTTGTATTTCTTTTCTTTTCTTTTTTTTTTTTTTTTGAGGCGGAGTCTCGCTCTATCGCCCAGGCTGGAGTGCAGTGGTGCGATCTCGGCTCCCTGCAAGCTCCACCTCCTGGGTTCAGGCCATTCTCCTGCCTCAGCCTGCCAAGTAGCTGGGACTACAGGCGCCCGCCGCCACGCCCGGCTAATTTTTTGCATTTTTAGTGGAGACGGGGTTTCACTGTGTTAGCCATGATGGTCTCTATCTGATGACCTCGTGATCTGCCCGCTTCGGCCTCCCAAAGTGCTGGGATTACAGGCGTGAGCCACTGTGCCCAGCCAACAATTTGTATTTCTATACACTAGCTGGATTGTATCCCCTCAAAAGATAAGTTGAAGTTCTCACCCCCTGCTACCTCAGGGTGACCCTATTTGGAAACAGGGTTATTGCCAATATTATTAGTTCAGATGAGGTCATACTGGAGTAGAATGGGCCCTTAATCCAACATGACTGATGTCCTTATAGGAATTGGAGAAGACAGGTAAACATGGAGGAAAGACTGCTAATGTAAAGATGGAGGCAGAGACTGGATTTATTCTGCCACAATCCAAAGAATACCAGGGACTAACAGTGGCTAGAATAGGCACGGTAGATTACTTCCCTAGATATTTCAGAGGGAGCATGGCTGTGCCAACACTTTAATTTTGAATTTCAAGTCACCAGGCTGTGAGAAAATAAATTCTTGTTGTCTTAAATCACCCATATGTGGTCCTTTATTACTAAAGCCATAGGAAATGAATACACTAACTATGAACATTTCAAAAGTGAAATAAAGAAAACATTCAATTTATAATAGCACCAAAGAGATCGTGACTGAATTTAAAAAAAGAAATGCAAGACTTGGGCACTGACACTACAAAACATAATTGAAAGAACTTAAAGAACACCTACAGAAATGAATAGATATCTCATCTTCATAGACTGTTAAACTTAATATTTTTTATAAACAGGGTCTCTGTTACCCAGACTGGAGTGCAGTGATGCAATCACAGCTCACTTCAGCTGCTAACTCCTAGGCCCAAGGCATCTTCCTACCTCAGCCTTCTAAGCAGCTAGGACTACAGGCATGCACCACCATGCCTGGCAATTAAAAAAAAATTTTTTTTTGTAGGGACAGGGTCTTGCTGTGTTGCCTAGGCTCGTCTTGAACTCCTGGCTTCAAGTGATCCTCCTGCCTTGGCCTCCCAAGGTTCTGTGATTACAGGTGTGAGCCACCACACCTGTCTTTAATAATCTTAAGGTAGCAATACTTCCCATATTGTCCTTCAGATTCAATGTAATTACTTTCAAAATTCTAGCTGACATTTTTTCAGAACTGACAAGCTGATTCTAAAACTCATGTGGAAGTTCAAGGAAGCTAGAATAGCCAAAGCAATCTTAAGAACAAAGTTAGAAGATTCACACTTAACTGATTTTAAAACTTAATACAAAGCTACAGTAACCAAGGCAAAATGTTACTGGCATAAGGCTAGACATATGGCTATATGGCTAGACATATAGAGCAATGGAATGGAATTGAAAGTCCATAAATAAACCCTTACATTTATGAACAAATGATTTTCAAGGTAAGATGATTCAATGGGGGAAAGAAAAGTCTTTAATTTATAATAAATGGTACTTGGGCAACTGGTTATCCACATGCAAAAGAATGAGACTGGATTACTTATTTTTGCCATTCACTAAAGTCAAAATTATCAAAGACCTAAATTTAAGAGGTAAAACTATAGGCATTTTAGAAGAAACATAGGAGTAAATCTTTGTGACATTGGGTTAGGCAGTGGTTTCTTAGATATGACATCAGAAGTACAATCAACAAAAGAAAAAAATAGATAAACTTTATCAAAATTAAAAACTTTTGTGCTGCAAATGATACTATCAAAAACATGAAAAAAACTGCTCATAGAATGTGAAAAATATTCACAAATCATATATCTGCTAAGGTACTTAGTAGAACATACAAAGAACTCTTACACCTCAGTAATAAAAAGATAAATAATTCCATTAAAAATAGGTAAAGTATCTGAATAGGTATTTTCCCAAAGAAGATATAGAAATGCCCAATAATCACATGATAAGATACTTAACATTGGTAGTTGCTAGGTTTTTTTGTTTTTTTGTGTTTTTTTTTGAGACAGAGTCTCGCTGTGTCATCCACGCTGGAGTGCAGTGACATGATCTCAGCTCCCTGCAACTTCCACCTCCTGGGTTCAAGCAATTCTTGTGCCTCAGCCTCCCAAGTTGCTGGGACTACAGGCACCTGCTGCCATGCCCCGCTAATTTTTGTATTTTTTGTAGAGATGGGTTTTCACCATGTCGGCCAGGCTGGTCTCAAACTCCTGACCTCAGTTTATCTTCCTGCCTCGGCCTCCCAAAGTGCTGGGATTACATGCATGAGCCACTGGGCCTGGCTGTCACTAGTTTTAATTGCAAATCAAAACTACAATGAGATACCACTTTACACGCCCTGGGATGGCTATAATCAAATAGACAAGGCAATGATTTTTTGGCAAGTATGTAGAGAAATTGGGAACCTCATACATTACTAATGGGAATTTAAGTTATGTATCTGGTTTAGAAAACAGTTAGCCGGTTCCTCAAAATGTTAAATACAGTGTCTGCATATGATTCAGAAATTCTGTTTCTAGGTTTACGCATGAGATAAATGAAAACACATGTTCACACAACAACTTGTACATAAATGTTCATAATAGCATTATTCATAATGGCAGAAAAGTTGAAACAAACAAAATGTCCCTAAAGTGATTGATAAATAAAATGTGGAATATCCTTATAATGAAATGTTATTTGGCAGTAAAAAGGAACAAAGTAATAACGTGCTATAATAGGGAAGAACCTCGAAAACATATTGCTAAATGTAAGAAGCCAGTTTCAAAAGACCACATACTATATGCTTCTATTTGTGTCAAATATCCAGAATAGGCAAATCTAGAGAGATAAAGTAGGCTACTGGCTGGGTATTTGCAAAGAGGAATTGGGAGTGACTACTAATGTGTCTGGTGTTCCTTTGTGGGGTAAATAAGATGTAGTAAAATTAGATAGTGGTGATGGTTGCTCAAGTTGGTGAATATATTAAAAGATATTGAAATGTCTACTTTAAAATGTGCACTGTATGATGGTGGTGATGGTTGCTTAAGTTGGTGAATATATTAAAAGAAATTGAAATGTATACTTTAAAATGTGGACTGTATGATATATTAATTATACCTAAATAGAGCTGTTATAAATTCTGATTTAATAAATGAATAACTCTTTTCAAAAATAATCTATGGTTTATCCATACTATGGAACAATGTCAGCAAACTGTGGCCCAAATAATCTATGGTTTATCCATACTGTGGAACAATGTCACCAAACTGTGTCAGCAAACTGTGGAACAATGTCAAACCTAACCTGAAACTTATTTTTGTAAATAAAATTTAATTGGAATACAGCCATACCCATTGAGTAATAGTGATAGAGACCATCAGGCTTGCAGAATCTAAAATACTTACTATCTAGTTCTTTGCAAAATATGTTTGCCAACTCCTGCTGTGGAATAATCATTAGCACTTAAAAAAACTGAGAAAGATCTATGTTTATGGATATGAAGAAATCTCAGACTTTATGTTAAGTGAAAAAGTAAGTTGAGAACAATATATACAGTGATGTCATTTATGTGAAAAAGAAAACTGAAATCCAACCCACCACTAATAAAAATTACAGAATGGAAAACATACATGCAGTATTGTGTAAATGCATAGAACAAGTCCTGGAAAGGTAACAGTGATTCTATAATATTTCTAGGGAGAGTATTAAATTTTCGAAGTGGTAATCAAAGTGTCCATTAAACTTCATTTGTATTAAAATCTTTACAAAGAAAATATGTGTGTTATATAAATTAAAATATAAATGTACAATTATAAACATACTTTTTTGGTTTATTTTTCAGAGCTGTAAATGATCAAGTTTTGTTAGATGCTGTAAGTATAGTAATCTCAATTTGAAATTACACTTTGTCCTTGAGTTCTTAACAGATTCTAGAAATTGTCAGGATACCTAATCCTATATAAAGATCCAGTGCTTACTTAGTTTATTTAAAATAATTTTATGCATATGTGAACTGGAAAGCCTTGTCTATTTTGTTCATTTTACCCCCATTATCACTCAGAAATAATTCACTTCTGAAATACTAAACTGTAATGTCCTACAGTCATCTGAATAGTTCCAGTCCTTGACACTTTTAGCTCTTTTATGTCTTTCAGCTCCAATTCTTGTCTCACTGTACATACTGATATCAATGTTTCATTCTTGTCATGAGTTAATGAAGACTTTCTTACTTTAATAATTAAATATCTGAATAACCTTTCTACATTGAGAGTTTTACTCTTCATTATTACTAAAATTATTTGTTTCTAGGAATACAAACAGATACAACGTGATTTTGAGTTGTTATCAGAAGAGAAGTTGGTGCTGGAAAATGAACTACAAAAGTTGAAGGACACAGAGGTTGGAAAAATTTTATGTTTGAAAATGGCATACACCTAACAAGAGTTATTATGTTAGGATAGAAATCAAAGAGATATTTAAATGTTATATAATATGTTTTTATTATTAATAATTTGTAGCAGCTATGCTTTAAAAAATAAAATTATGCCATATTCTAAATTATCATATTAGGTGTCAAAACCAAAAGGATGCCATGAAAAAACAGATAAAATTTAAACATCTGACAGACATTTCTAGGCCAAATATTTACCTTTATTAAACTAGCAGTAAATTAGTTTTCAAATATATTGTAAATGCATTTCGTGGTAGTTTCTACAATTATGTAATGTGTGTATCCCAGTTCATTATACCAAATAGAGTAAATAGAAATAGAAATGCAAGGGTAAAGGAAAATTTGTTTCCTCTTGTATTTTATTGTTCTCTTTGCCATCGTTAGAGAGCTTACAAATTCAAACTATAGACAATAAAGTCAAATACATTAAAAGTGAACTTTTATTAACCACTTAAGAACTTAAGATATATGGTTGAGGAAAAATACTAAATTCAATAATGTTGGTTGCTTGATATTTCTTCCTTACTAGGGGAGGAAGCAGAAATCATACAGGAGATTTGCTATTTGATCAGTTAGAGAAGCAGTAGTCTTACACAGGTGTCAAATATAAGATCAGCGCTGTCATATATGTTCAGTTTAGGAATAGTTTTCCTTTAGGTATCATGCCAAGTAGGAATAGAACATTGGAACAAAATAACTAAAAATAGTAAATTGTCATGTTGAAGAACTGAGTAGTCTGACCAAGTGTGAGAATTTTGCAGCATGCTAATCACATACTGTTAGAGCACATTGAAAAAACGCTGGAGCTTCTTAGATGACTTGAGGATGTTGCACCAGTTTCTGGTTTTGCTTCCTTGTGTTGTTTCTTTAGGTGTTTTGTCTCTAATTCTGCTCTAGAGAGCAATGGTTTTTGCACGAACTTCAGTATATGATCTAGGATACCACAAGGTTTTCTTGTTTAATGCATGGAAACTTTGGTGCTCATTTGGTAGGTTATACTCTTACCCATTCTTTAAAACATTTAAAAACATTTTTTATTTTTGTGGGTACCAGTAAGCGTATGTATTTATGGGGTACATGAGATATTTTAGTACAGGCATACAATGTGTAATAATCACATCATGGACAATTGGGTATCCATTTCCTTAAGCGCTTATCCTTTGTGTTGCAAATAATCCAATTATACTTTTTTAGTTATTCTTAAATGTACAATTAAATCACTATTGACTATAGTCCCCCTGTTGTGCTATCAAATACTAGGTCTTATTCATTCTTTCCAACTATATTTTTTGTACCCATTAACCATCCCCACCCCCTGCTCACACTCCAAGCCTCTGGTAATCATCCTTCTATTCTCTATCTCTATGAGTTCAATTGTTTTGATTTTTAGCCCCAACAAATAGTGAAAACATGCAATGTTTGTCTTTCTGTGCCTGGCCTATTTCATTTAACATAATGACTTCCAATTCCATCTATGTTGTTGCAAATGACACAATCTCCTTTTTTATGACTAAATAGTACTCCATTGTGTATAAGTATTACATTTTCTTTTTCCAGTCATATGTTGATGGACACAGAGGTTGCTTCCAAATCTTGGCTACTGAAAACAGACCTGCAACTAACATGGGAGTGCAGATATCTCTTTGATATACTGGTTTCCTTTTTTTGGGATATATACGTATCAATAGGATTGCTGGATTGTATGGTAGCTCTATTTTTAGTTTTTTGAGCAACCCCCAAACTGTTTTCCATAGTGGTTTTACTAATTCACATTCTCACCAACAGTATACGAGGGTTCCCTTTTCTCTACATCATCCCCAGCATTTGTTATTGCCTGGCTTTTGGATAAAAGTCATTTTAACTGGGACAAGACGATATTTCATTGTAGTTTTGATTTTCATTTCTTAGATGATCAGTGATGTTGAGGACCTTTTCACATACCTGTTTGCCATTTGTATGTCTTGTTTTGAGAAATATCTATTCAAATCTTTTATCCATTTTTAAATTGGATTATTAGATATTTTTTTCCTATAGAGTTATTTGAGCTCCTTTTATATTCCGATTGTTAATCCCTCGTCAGATGGGTAGTTTGGAAATATTTTTTTTCTCATTTTGTGGGTTGTCTCTTCACTTTGTAGATTGTTTTCTTTTCTGTGCAGAAGGTTTTTAACTTGATGTTATCCCATGGGTCCATTTATTTTTTGGTTACCGTTACTTGTGGAGTATTACTCAAGAAATTTTTGCACAGACCAATATGCTAGAGAGTTTCTCCAATGTTTTCTTGGAGTAGTGTCATAGTTTGAGGTCATAGATTTAAGTCTTTAATCCATTTTGATATGATTTTTGTGTAAGGTGAGAGATAGGGTTCAAGATTTATTCATCTGCATATAGATATCTAGTTTCCCAGCAACATTTATTGAAGAGACTGTCTTTTCCCCCACTGTATGTTCTTGGCACCTTTGTTGAAAATGAGTTCACTGTAGGTGTGTGGAATTTTTTCTGGGTTCTCTTCTGTTCCTTTGGTCTATGTGTTGGCTTTTATGCAACTACCATGTTGTTTTGTTTACTGTAGCTCTGTAGTATAATTTAAAGTCAAATAATATAATTTCTCCAGTTTCATTTCTTTTGCTCAGGATAGCTTTGGCTATTCTGGGGCTTTTGTGATTTTATATAAATGTTAGGATTTGTTTTCTATTTCTGTGAAGAATATCATTGATATTTTGATAGGGATTACAATGAATTTGTACATTGCTTTGGGTAGTATGGACATTTCAACAATATTGACTCTTCCCATCTATGAACATGGAATATCTCTCCATTTTTCTGTATCCTCTTCAATTTCTTTCATCAGTGTTTTATAGTTATCCTTGTAGAGATCTTTCACTTCTTTGGTTAAAACCTAGGTATTTAATTTGTGGCTGTTGTAAATAGGATTAGTTGTTTGATTTCTGTTTCAGATTATTCACTGTTGGTATATAGAAATGTTACTGATTTTTGTATTTTGATTTGTATCCTGTAACTTTACTGAATTTATCAGTTCTAAGAGTTTTTTTTTTTTTTTTTGGGCCAGTCTTTAGATTTTTCCAAATACAAGATCATACCATCTGCAAACAAGGATAATTTGATGTTCCTTTCCAGTTTGGATGCCCTTTATTTCTTTCTCTTATCTGATTGCTCTAGTGAGAACTTCCAGTACTATGCTGAACAACAGTCATGACAGTGGACATTCTTATCATGTTCCAGATCTTAGAGAAAAGGCTTTCAGTTTTTTCCCATTTGGAGTGAAACTGGCTGTGGGTTTGTCATATGTGGTTTTTATTATGGTTGAGGTATGTTTCTTCTCTAGCCAGTTTTTAGAGGGTTTTTTTCATAAAGGGATATTGAACTTTATCAAATGCATTTTCAGCATCAGTTGAAATGATCATATTCTTGTCTTTCAATCTGTTAATATGATGTATCACATTGGTTGATTTGCATATTGTGAATCCCACTTGGTCATGATGAATGATCCTTTTAATATATTGTTGAATGTGTTTTGTTAAGTGTTTTGTTGAGAATTCTTGCATCAATAGTCACCCAAAATATTGGCATATAGGCCTTTCTTTTGAAGAGCTTTTGTCTAGATTTGGTATCAGGGTAATACTGGTCTTGTAGAATGAGTTTGGAAGTGTTCCCTCCTCTTGTCTTTTTGGGATGGTTTTAATAGGGTTGGTATTATTTCTTTTTTTTTATTATTATACTTTAAGTTCTAGGGTACATGTGCACAACGTGCAGGTTTGTTATATATGTATACATGTGCCATGTTGGTGTGCTGCACCCATTAACTCATCATTTACATTACATATATCTCCTAATGCTATCCCTCCACCCCCTGCTCCCCACATTAGAACCCGGTGTGTGATGGTCGCCTTCCTGTGTCCAAGTGATCTCATTGTTCAATTCCCACCTATGAGTGAGAACATGCGGTATTTGGTTTTCTGTTCTTGTGATAGTTTGCTGAGAATGATGGTTTCCAGCTGCATCCATGTCCCTACAAAGGACACGAACTCATCCTTTTTTATGGCTGCATAGTATTCCATGGTGTATATGTGCCACATTTTCTTAATCCATCTGTCACTGATGGACATTTGGGTTGATTCCAAGTCTTTGCTACCATGAAAGTGCTGCAGTAAACTTATGTGTGCATGTGTCTTTATAGCAGCATAACTTATAATCCTTTGGGTATACACCCAGTAATGGGATGGCTGGGTCAAATGGTATTTCTAGTTCTAGATCCTTGAGGAATCGCCACACTGTTATCCACGATGGTTGAACTAGTTTACCATCCCACCAACAGTGTAAAAGTGTTCCTATTTCTCCACATCCTCTCCAGCACCTATTGTTTCCTGATTTTTTAATGATTGCCATTCTAAGTGGTGTGAGATGGTATCTCATTGTGGTTTTGATTTGCATTTCTCTGATGGCAAGTGATGATGAGCATTTTTTCATGTGTCTGTTGACTGTATGAATGTCTTCTTTTGAGAAGTTTCTGTTCATATCCTTTGCCCACTTTTTGGTGGGGTTGTTTGTTTTTTTCTTGTAAATTTGATTGAGTTCTTTATAGGCTCTGGATATTAGCTCTTTGTCAGATGAGTAGATTGCAAAATTGTTCTCCCATTCTGTAGGTTGCCGGTTCACTCTGATGGTAGTTTCTTTTGCTGTGCAGAAGCTCTTTAGTTTAATTAGATCTCATTTGTCAATTTTGGCTTTTGTTGCCGTTGCTTTTGGTGTTTTAGACATGAAGTCCTTGCCTATGCCTATGTCCTGAATGGTATTGACTAGGTTTTCTTCTAGGGTTTTTATGGTTTTAGATCTAACATTTAAGTCTCTAATCCATCTTGAATTAATTTTCACATAAGGAGTAAGGAGAGGATCCAGTTTCAGCTTTCTACTTATGGCTAGCCAATTT